TAAACAACCATACATCCACTCTTCCTTCTTGCAAAGGGGCTTCCTCACTATGACAATGTTCCTTTGAATAATAATCCCGATTCAGTAGGCTTACAAGACTGTCACCTTAATTTTAACATGAAACTAGTCATCTAACTTAACTCTCACAATGAGAAACTCCTAGCCCTAGCTAGTCTCAACCCTTAATTCAACAAGCTTGAGTACGCCGTGAAAGAAATTCAATATAAAGAAAACAAATAATAATTAAGCTCAATATAAAACGATATTACAACCCTTTCGATTAGAAAACCATTTTTTGAATGATCTAAGCGAAGCTCGATGAAGAACGGTGATGAAGATGGACTCCAAGGGCAGCTATTCTCGCCATGAATTAATCGCATAATGTTGTGCGAGACGATTGAGCGATTGATGAGACTCCAGAGGAATGAAAAACTCTGATTGTTCAACAATCACAAGCCCTAGGTCTCCTCTCTCTTTTTGCTCTCTTTTTCTCTTTTGATTAGGTCAGGAAACAATTCCTTAAAACATAGGAGAGGATTAGGTCTTCATATGCAATGGACGGGTGACATTAAAAGCTGAAAAAATTGAATCAGCCTTCGAACCATCGATGGTGGCTCTCGACCATCAATGGTGTCAAGCGATCATTGACGGTCGATGACCCCATCAATAATCTGAATGTCTCTCGGCTTTGCATGATTGATGATCTAAGGAAAACTATCAATCACGTCATGGTCACCGTCAATGGTCAATGTGAACCATTGTTAGTCCCCATGCTGAAATCAGCTTTTGAATTGATTTTCGATTCTTTTCGCCTCATTCATACATATATATATATTCATGTACTAAATCATCTCAAATATAGATTAGACTCAAATGAATGTTTGTTATTAGTCAAACAAAAGATATTGTACAGATAAAATCCTAAAAATCTATATGAAATATAATCATTTAGATATGTATTGTGTTGAAGTGGATACATGAACTCTTTGAACACGGATATCTCATGCAAAGAGGGCACTTCTCTAATGAGAGTACCATCAATAAAAGTTAAAAAGAAGTGTGTCCGGTTCCCCAAATCTCTAGAATATGTGGTGTTCTAGGTAGGGGTGCCAAACCGTATCCGTATCCGAGGAAATATCTGTAACCGTATCCGTTAGGATACGAATATGAGGGGTGCCAAACCGTATCCGTATCCGAGGAAATATCTGTAACCGTATCCGTTAGGATACGAATATGGTAACTCAAATCAATTACCGATAGGATATGGTTGCGGATATGGTTTTGTAGTGAAATATTTGTATCCGTATCCGAAAATATTCGAATACATATTGGTAATACTCTTACGATAGTTTCGATTCTTAGATTATGGATTTGTGGTTAATTTTGATGATCAAGATGTCTAATCTTAACTTTTCAATCATAATAAACATATTAACGAACTCTTTTTGTATCACATGACTATATTTTTCTGAATACTATCTAGTTTTCTCATATCCTTTTTGTATCTGCATGCATATCCGTTTATATATCCGCGTACATATCCGTAACCGTATCCGATTTTCATCCTTTTTGTATCTGCATGCATATCCGTTTATATATCCGCGTACATATCCGTAACCGTATCCGATTTTCACGGATATGGATATGATTTTTTCTTACCGACGTATATCCGTATCTGTATCTGTATCCGAGATGGGTAAGCGGATATGGATATGGTAAGTGTCATATCCGAGCCGTATCCGCTCCGTTAACACCCCTAGTCCTAGGGGTACAAATGAATAAGATATGGGCCAAATATGAGATAATCGTATCTATATCCACTTCCAAAAATGAATAAAAATAAAACGGCTATTCATCAGGAAAACCCAAGCATAGCTATCAAAATTGAATACATATATCTACTTACTTGCAGGTCGCCATATCCTTTTGCATACCCATCAAAATTGAAGAACACAAAATCTCTCGAACATGTAATAGTGTCCTCCAAAATAGAATCGCTATTTACATATCAACCGCGTATTGAAGAAAATCTCATTGCGCCTCCTTAATACTCAAGCGAATAGAGCGATCCTTACCCCTTGGACTATCACTGGAAACTCGAGAGATAAAAACAGTGGTAAGAAAATGAAGATAAGCATATCATATCCTGTAGTGCCCAAAGAAACCCAACGAAACTCAAGTATGATCGATAACAACAGTCCCTCACTACCAAAAAATTTACTGGAACAATACTTGTTTGTAATGTTAAGATAACAAAATGATTCATGCAATGGGAAGATTTCATTCTTTCATGAAAATACTGTACAACACAACATGAATTGAACTACTTGTGCTTTGATGATATTACAACAAACTGATAAAAACAAATCAAAAATACACTGATTTCTACGTCAACTACTCTTGGTGCTTCTTAAGTCCATGTTCAATGAGATCTATCTTCTTAGTATTCTCCTTGTTGATAAGTGAGAGCAACTCCATTGATGATCTTATCTTTTGCATCTGACTGTCTGATACTTGATCTCTCCTCCTTCCTGGTGATTGTTGTTTTATGTTTGATGTAGTAACTGGAGAAGATTGAAAACATCTTCTCACTCTTGCATTCAGAGACTCGATAGAAGAATGCAACGCATCCAACTCTACATCTGCGAATCCTTCTGGATTTATCCAGAAAAATATAAGTTAAAGTTTGTAATATGATGGAATGACAAAGCATTGGAAAAAAAAATACGATAAAGGGCTTTTCTATAGGAATTCATAATAGGAGGAAGATCATGACATACCCAGGACCAAGTCTCTAAATCAGTGCAATCAATAAACAATATCAGTACAATTACTCTTAGGGATTTTTTGTATATGTACCCCCTTTCATCATTTATGTTTGCAAAAGCAACCCCAAATCTCAGTGCTTGCAGAACTATCCTTCCACTCATCAACAATGGGGAAAATACCACGCCTATCTAGCGTTGTCAAATGGCTTAGGCATATTTCTTACTGTTTTACCCTTTATTAAATCAATGGAGAGAGAATCCCAAAACCATTTGATAAGTAAACGCAGGGTTAAGTTTTCCAATGTTGATGAATTAAGGGTAATTTTGCAAATAATAAGATTTGAGGTCTGCAAATATGATGATTTAAGGGGCATATAACCAAAAACAATATATCAATGGAACCAGAACAGTGTACCAGTTCAACCTTAAACTTTAAAATATGTGCTCTAACACTGGTTGCAACTGACCTTATATGATTTTCTACAGCCCTCGAAAGTTTTTCTTTTTTTTTCCTTTTTCTTTTTCCCCCTTCTTCTCCCTATAGGTTCAAGGAATGGGCAGTTGCTTACCGAGTTGGGACTTGAAATCACGTTCAGCTCTTGACAGCGGTTTCTTGTTAGCTCCAGGAAGCATTCTAAAATTTTGCAACCGTTGTTCCAAAAGCTCATAAACCTTGAAAGCCCGACTAATCCGATCTTTTACATCTTGTTCTTTTTCTTCGACATTTAAAAGCAACTGCTTTGCATCATGCAAGCGTTTACTTTGGTTTGCCATTATTGTCTTCTGATAATCTTCATGGTGTTCAAGCTCAACAAAAACCTGAAAAAAAACAAAGAGGGAACTTCAAACTAGAAACTTTTGAACTCAGAAAATCTATTGGTTGCCAAAAAGCAAAACATGTTGAGAAATGTTATTTTACAGTGCAACTTTATTTTGCCAAAGAGCCTGCAGTTTATTCAGTTACGTTATGCAACCCAGAACCAATCCTGGCATTTTTTTTTTTTTTTTGTTGGTGGATTTCTGAAATTGATTATTGGTGAGCAGAGAAATAATATATCTGTTAGAAGATGTAATAATCATTTAGGTCAAAATCTAAAAGTACAACACAGTCAAGGAAGACGAATGTGAAGATTATAAATCTAAAGACTAGAACGAAAAGCATTGTGATCAATATCGTGGTTTTCTGCTTACATCACTTTAAATTATTGATGAATAGCTAGTTTTAGAAGCTTGTCATTATGTATATGAAACAATTAGTATCATTGGAGATCTCATCTTCTTCCTACTACTGGCAATTGGCTATAAACAGTAGTTGACAACAAACTCAGTTTGAGATATTACCTTATGTGCATACTCCACATAATTTTCATGGAACAGCTTGATGTAGTGATGAAGTATTGATCGGCCTTCAATGGAATCAGCTGTCAAAGATCTACAATTTGTCAATGAAGAAATATCAATAGCCTTTGGACCGCTAAGAAGTTCTTTGCTTATAACCTCAGGGATGTCAGCAGTATCCGAAGAACCATCAGTGAGCATATCCATATGATACTGAAGGGCAGTAGCTTCAGTCCAAAACTTGCTTTCCAGAACTATACACTCATAACTTGAAGTAATTCCAACTACTTTTGAATGTCCACAAGGATCAGCTATCACAGCAAAACCATAAAGAGATGATGTCAAGCGAGATTCATCATAATCAGTGGTGAGAATAGGAAGAACCGAAGGCTCTTTTCCTGTCTTGTCTGTTTCACTCAGCAGATTTGAGAATGGGAGAAAATGCAATGATATCAAGTCTATTCCCGCAAGATGTAGACAGTAAAATCTCTCCACTAGGAGGGGATCTGGAAAAAGCGCCAATAAACAATTATCTAATGCATATCTTGGCAGAGACAGGTCCACTGTAGCCAACCTAAGCAAAGGAGGACCAGAAAACATAGTTTCTGAAGTATCACTGAGTTTTGAAGACAATTCTTCTGAGTTTGACTCACATATCATAGCAACGCCTTTTATACGATCATAAGAATCAACACGAAGACGGGGTGCACTACCAAAAGTCCAAAGGGGTTGGATTTCATCGGCTAGGGCGTCTATCTGAAGCTGCCCATCGCTCCAACCAATCACAAGAATTGAATCTTTGCCAATAGAGCTGTAAAGGAAACTTACTGCCTTTGCTTCATAATCTGCACCCTTAGAGCTAGAATCCTCACCAGTGCATATTTTACCAAGTGGTCCCTGCAAAAGATACCTGTAACTTGTAACTTGCTGACAATGAAATACAATGCTACCACAATGAGCTCAAATTTCAGCTACTAGTTGAAGGGAAAACCAAGGATGGACAATGGAGGGGTGGAGGACTTCATTCTGCGTTCCTATAGTAGCCAAAACATAATTCATTATGGCATTCACTAAACCGTTTGTGAGCTTCTAGGTTCAATAGATTCTCATGACAAGATTGCTTTATAGTGTACTTATGCTATTGCAAGAAGTCGAGAAAAGCTATTTTTTATAATCAACATGGAGAAATTTAATAGCTAAGTTATTATCTTACTCATCTTCCAGATGTTTATGTAGCCTAATTTTTCCTTTAACCCTCTGATCAGCTTTCAGTAGTAAGCCCATCTTATTGTCTACAAGCCCCATCTCATGCGCGGTAGGTCATTTCTTGCCTAGAATATTTTGTGGTTAGGGTAATCTCATATTTTGCATGGAATACAATGTGGTTATCTCTAGTCTACTGTATATAAGGGACATGCTCCAGTTCCGTTGCTTGTGGTCACACAAAAAGTACCACCCAACCACCTAGGGCATACATCATGAATATTCCATATGCCCAATCCATTCATAGTCATGAATCATCTAAAGCTTTGCCCTTACAGGATGGGTTGTACGCAGCATTACTCTGACAACATTGAGAAGGCTTCATAGAAAGGTTAACAAGAACTTATACCCACATGAGCTTATGTATATTCCCAGGTTCCTAGCCCATCTATATCTATACTTGCCACATATAAAAGAGGGTTGCTACGCCAAAACATTCGGTTGCCTTTCTACCCACTCAATTTGATATTACCAATTATCAACAACAACAACCAAGCCTTTATCCCAAATGTTTGGGGTCGGCTACATGAATTCTATTTTTTCATTTCATTCTGTTGCAGGTCATTTCCTCCGTTACGTTAGTCTTAATCATATCATTTTTAATTGTTTCTGATCAAGTCATTCTAGATCGACCTCTAAATCTCCTAACCCCATTAACTCTAATATTATCATTTTTCCTAATCGGTGCACTAAGAGGTCTCCTTTGTACATGACCAAACTATCTTAATCTATTCTCTCTCATTTTATCCTCAATAGGTACAACCTCTAATTTACTATGGATGCATTCATATTTTATCCTATCTTTTAATGTATACTCACAAAACCATCGCAACATTCTCATTTCTGCTACACTCATTATTTGAACATGTTATTTTTTAATTGTCCAACATTCCGATCCATAAAGCATAGTTGGTCTTATAACCATCCTATAGCATTTTTTTTTAGTTTTATTGGTATTCTACGATCACATAAGACCAATATTTTAAATATCGGATGTCGAGTTCATGTCGGACGGCTGAAATCCATGTCGGATAGCAAAAAATTAGGGATATATCGGGGACATAGACTAAATATCGGATTGTCATATTGGGTGGTGCGCATATATATAATATCATGTCCTAAATATAATCTAAACATTCCTAAATTCAATAGAAGCATACTTTATAAATTTTAGAGGCGACGTCGGCGATGGGTGAATTCCGACGTCGTAAAGAGGCAGTGTCGGGGCTCTTCTTCTTCTTTTTCGTCTGCTTGGGGTCCTCCGAATGAGTCACCGACCACCCTCTTCCCTTATCCCGACGGCAAGATACCCTGTCGTCCTCGGGTTCGGTTGGGTTTCGGTTTTCGGGGCGCAACGAGAGATGGACAACGGGCCGAGATGGAGGTGGGAAAATGACGTTGTCGTTCACGAAAGAAGTTATGGGTTCCTAAGTCAACTGCAGCCCTAATTTTTTTCTTTTCTTTCTATCGGGTTCATAAGAAACTCTTAAACATGAGAATGGGTCAAATAGGTTTGGGTTTTTATCACTAAACTCAAAACCAATAACAAAAAATAGTTCTAAAAAAAAGGCCATATCGGCCTTTTTTCAAAGATGAAAAATCAACTGATATGTCCGATATGGTCTCGATATTTTCGATTTAGCCCTGAAAACCAACAATCGAGTTGAAAACGCCCATGTCGTGTCGCTCAAGCCCTCAAACCGACATGTCGGACATGTCGACCGACATTTAAAACCTTGCATAAGACTCCCAAAGCACTCCTCCATTTCAACCATCCCGATTTAATTCGATGCACAACATCATCCTATCTCACCATCATGCCTAATGATAGATCCTAAATAGCGAAAATGATTAGTTTTAGGTATTTTTTGGTCATCAATATGTACCATACGCTCTCTTTCTTTCCTACTTTTACTAAAAACGTAATTCATATATTCTATTTTTGTTCTACTAATTCGAAACATTTAGACTCAAGAACTTGTCTCCATCTTTTTACTTTAGCAATAATGTCTCTTCTAGTTTCAACTAATACTATATCATTAATAAATAACATACACCATGAGATTTTTAATATGAATGTGCTTAGTAAATTGACTGTTAATTTTTCATCCGTTAGAAATTGACTGTTAATTTTTCATTTATGACCACCTTACCCTCAAGATGTCCTTGTACTTTTGGCTCTAAATAAAAATTGGACCTAATAATTTATTATTTTTCTATCATTATGCGCTTTGCTTCTGCATGTATTTGTTGATGACACTTGCAATTATTTTCTAATAGTATTCATAACTCTAATGTCTCATTTAGTACGTAGAAACACAGCCAAGTGAGAATGGAATGAAATAAGGAGTCGAATTGAAATAAATGTCGGAATGATCATTCTCATTCTCAAGTTCGTGTGCAATTAGAGAATGAAGTGGGAATGACATTTTTTTTATTTTTGACATGAGTCATTGATATGCAATCAAGGCATTATTTTAAATTCTTTATTCTCATTTAAGTGGGAATGCTCATTCCCTACCATTTTATTGCAAATGCTCATTCTCACATAAAGTTGGAATGAATAAGAAGTGATAATTGACACCTTAGCTTCGAAAGAGGTGTTGTATTTGACACCCATGAATGAGAAATGAGAATAAGCATTTCTATTCCTCCCATTCCAGCAAGCCAAACGAGACATAATACAAGAAGATAAAGTTAGAGATATTGATTATGAATTAATATTTTTTTATATGCACAGTCGAATCTTGATTATCAATTCTTCTTGTTTTGGTATGTGCAATCTTTATAAAAAGGAGCAAAATTTTATGGACTCGCATACTTGCCATGATGATGCTGAAGAATTCACTTGATTTAATTTTCAAGGATGTTAATTTTGTCAGGGACATGAATCAATAAACTATAACTCTAAATCTAATTACTGAAATATAATTAACTAAAGTTTTGAGATGGTAGTGATTGCGAAGTAGTGTTAATAAGTCTATTTGTTGATCCATATGCAACTCAAGCTCCAAGTGGGGCACTATGGACAAGAGATCTAATCCAATCATGCAGAGCACCAAAATTAAATAGTTTTTCTCGCTGTTTTACAGGAAAAGTACAACTATTTCTTTTAAGTATTTTTATAACAAAATTTTGGAAATTTTTGTTTAATTAGTTTTCTTAGGTATTCCTATATCATCGGTTTTGGGGGCATTTTTCTATAACTGGGTATTAGAAACCGAAAATAAAATTAACAGAAACACAATTAATTTAACTTTTAGAGTTAGGATAATATCTTCCTTTCAAGTATTCTTAAACAAAATTTTTAATGGAAGCCAAGATGACCTAACTTGATAGCTGATAAGGGGTACAGGTGAGGACTAAGTTGAGGGGGAAAAAGAAAGGAAGATGATCAATTGGAACATGAGGCCCTAATACGGGGACCAAATTGACCTTCTAGTCAAGGTTAAAGCCTTAAGACCAAAGGCAATGATTTAAATAAAGATTCTTTACAGTCTAGAAGGAGATGGAACAATGTCAATATTTCCACTAGTTACTAACGCTCTAGTTATTGGCTATTCATCTTCTAGAAATGCACACATGATTCAGGATTAGCATTCATATTTCAATTTATCTTCATGGCATAGTAAAGAAGGTGGAAATTAGTTATGAAGAGAAGTAATTTGCATGGGAAGTCAAATAGTATATAAAGTATATCCTATTAGCAACATCTAGTACATATACCAAAGTGACAAGGTAAGCATGGTAAACGAACTTTGTTTAATGAAAATCCAAACAAAAGACGACAGAATAATTTGGAAACACACCTGTAGGACAAGTGATGCATCTAGTGGGGCATATGGATGAGCTCGCAATACTAATTTGTTGCGCTCTGCCAATGATTCATCTGCTAGCTCTGGAAACGTTGCCTCCAGCCAATCAAGAGCCATATTTGAGTTGCTTGCAACAATTGCGTTAGGCGACTTGACTCCAAACACTTTAACATCTTCATGAATTTCCTCTAAGAATTCCCAACTACATAGACTGCAAGAGAAGATGTAATAATTTTTTATTTAAGTAGGAAGATGTTCATGCTAACGTTCTTGAATGAAACACATACTTTACTTTCTCATGTGTGCCTAAGTTATACCCAATAATTGACAATAGTTTTCCAGTTCTTTCCTCCTTTTTTTTGGCTTTTAATGCAAAAGCTAGCTCCTAATTTTTTTGAAAAAACTTATAGAAATTCAAATGGTCTGTGTAACAACCTAAAAAAGAAAATAATAACATCAACATATGACAATTTAGTCATAGTAATGGAAAAGAATTAACGAAAAAGAATTAGCTCAAAAGTTAAAACTATAAAGTACCTTCCAAAAGGAATAATGGGGCAAAGCACATAGATGGAACCATCACTGAACAAAACAAAGACCTGGGGAAGCATAGAAACTCAGATTATTTAAAACAAAATCAATGTAAAACAATTACACAAACAAACTCTTCCTTCACAAAATTTGAGATTTGAGATTTGAGATTTGATAATGTGGAGCGAACATAAAAAATTACATACCAAATACATTTACAGATTCATCATTTATTTGATGCTAAAATAACAATCGTGGTAATTTTTGGAGTTGGCAAACACAGGTGAAACCAATACTATTAGCATATAGTTATAGTGAGCTAGATTAGTGCAACTGTGTCAAGCAGAAGGCAATTTGAAGTCAGGTCACCAACTCGAACCCCTTACAACCAAAAGTATTGGGCTTGAGTGTTCAATTAAAATTTCCAATCTAGATCCATTTATCTAGTAAATCAACAAATCATGTGAGCCCACCAAGACTAGGGACTATAAAGCAATTCAAAATTTTAAAACAACACATACACAATACAGACCTTAAAAGTTGTCATAGCTTGCCAAAATATTAATGACAAGTAAAACCACTTTTAATAGGGGCAAGATGTTAAAACAAATTATCAGATAATGATTGCTCCTGAACTTGTGTTACCCCAACACGTCGCTGGAGGAGGCGTAGCCATGTCGGGTACATTTTGGTTGTAGTTCCGCACCCAAACATTAGGGGACATGAGGGCAAAGACCTTCCCGCATGTGAGAGCAAAGAAAAGGGGAGAAAATGAGGTTGCTTTTACAATAGGGTCCTTTCTTGGTACCCATTAACCAAACCTGTTTCTTAATCTCTCCCAATCGTTTTCTACTTTTCCACTCGCTATGCTTCTCCATCCTGCTTCAAACCTATTAACAGAAGCGGCTCTCGATCAATAGAGCAACTCTCTGTCAACTTGAAGACAAAAATTAAAGCATCGAAGGTTGATCGACGAGGTTCCAACAATAGCAAGGCTCACCTGCAAACAAAGGTAAGCAAATGTTTGATGTTTTAACTCTTTCAGAGTTTTTAGGGTTATTTTCTGACATATTTTTGGGTTTTCTGAATGTTTGAAGAGGTTTTTAATTCTTTGTTGGAATATTGCTGAATAGAATTGATAGTGTTTTTGAATCTATTATTTGAATTTATCTTATCCGGTCACTGTCCAAGTCTATGGATTTAAGGGTTTTTAATTTAGACTCTAACTTGTCATATATTATTGATAAATCAAATTTAGGGATTTTAGATAAGGATTTAGTTAAGTATGAGGTAATTTAATTGATTGTAAATGGTATTCAATGTGTATGTATGCTTTTATAGATAATTTTATGTTTCCGAATTGTTGATTGATGTATAAATTCCTTTCTATTTTCTATATGTAATTATCTTTCTGTTAAAAATTATAGAGAATTAAATGGAGGCACAAAGTTCACAAAATGAGCTATTGGATGATAATGCTCCTCTTTAGAGATATGTCATAAAACTCAGAGAAGCGGCGAGAGGTGGTAAAAATTGGGAATGACAATGCAACTATTGAATTGAAATTTTCAAGAGTTCTCATTCAAGAGTAAGAGCTCATCTCTAAAGAGCTCCATCATTTGGAATCAAGTAGTGTACAAACGTGAAAAATTAAAATATTGTTGAGATGAAAAAAGTGTTGGAGCTAATGGAGCTTAAGTTGAAGGCATAGAAGGGCAAGATTGTTTCATTCCCTACATCAAGAATAACCACAATAACCGAAGTTGCTAAGAAGAGAAGAGGTGAGGGGAACACTAAAGAACAATCATTTAATCGTGGAGCTCGAGATCATATACAGTATCTCATTGTCCGAATATTTACACAGGGTTTATCATTTAATTTCAAAGAAATCCATACTTCAACAAGTATAAGTATGTCGCAAGCAATTCGATTGGAGGTTATGTTCCTCCTGGGTACAATCTTCCAAGAACAAGCTTCTTGCAAGAAGATAAGGCACATACTGAAAAGTTATTAGAGCCCATAAAGTTAACATGAAAAGAAAAGGTTGTCTATTGTTAGTGATGGGTTGTTGGCCTCACATTAATATGATGGCGGTGACCAAATACAGGCTAATATTCTTGAATATCATCAATACAAATGGGAGGATTAAGAATATGGATTATATAGTCGATATTCTCTTGAAAGATATTAAAGAGAATCCTCATAATGTTGTGCAGGTTATAACTAATAATACACCAATTTGCAAATCCGCGGGAGGCATTGTAGAAGGAAGACATCCTCATATTTTTTTGACTCAATGTATTGTTCATAGATTAAATCTTGCCTTAAAAAAATATTTGTGCAGTAAAGAAAGCCGAACGAAAGTAGTGTATGAGGAATGTTGTTGGATAACTGAAGTTAGTGAAGATGTTATTATGACAAGAAACTTCATAATGAATCACTCATGAGATTGTTAATGTTCAATAATCACGTGAAATTGAAAATGCTTGCGAAAGCCGAAACTCATTTTGCTTCGGTTGTTATCATACATTCATACTACAACGATTCAAGAAAATCAAGCATGTTCTACTGGACATGGTCATTAGTGGGAGTTAGAGTCTCTATCAAGATGATAATGTCAAGAGGGCTCAATTTATTAAAGAGAAATTTTTGAATAATATTTGATGGGATAAAATAGAATATATTCTCTCTTTTACTAATCCAACCAATAACATGTTTCGATCTGCTAACACCGACAAGTCAAATCTTCATTTAGTTTATGATCTATGAGATTCTATGATTGAAAAGGTAAAGAATTCTATTTACAGAAAATAAGGCAAGAGAGATGATGAATACTCATCATTTTATAATGTGGTACATACTATCGTTGTTGATCGCAGAAACAAGAGCAACAAACCATTACATTGCTTGGCTCATTTACTAAACCTGAAGTGAGTATTTTTTTCTCAACTAAACTTTTAATCTATATCGATTAGTCTTTAATACTTGATATTGTTTATAAATGTTTTTCTATCTTCTAGATATTATAGTGCGGCTTGGCTCATCGATGCCCCAAATCGAGTTGCACCACACAAGGATCCTCAGATCCCCAATGGAAGAGCTAAATGATTGAATAGGTATTTTCCTAATTCTGAAGAGCGGAGAATGGTTAGCATGGAATTTGCTAAGTTTTCTACCACACGAGATCTATTTGCAGATCATGAATCTTTGAATGATAGGGGAAAATGGTTGCAAAGTCTTGGCGGGTTGTCTATGGAACGCTACAAAATTACAAGAGTTTGCAATAAAGTTGTTCGGTCATCCTTGTTCCTCTTCTTGTTGCGAGAGAAATTGGAGCACTTATAAATTTATTCATTCTCTAAAGAAGAACAAGATGCCTTCACAACGAGCGGAAGATATGATATATGTTCATACAAATCATCATCTTCTTTTAAGGATATCTTCAGAATACTCTAGAGAAGAGATAAAAGATATGTGATATAGCAGGTGATGAATTGGAATCGTTAGATGGTGCCAACATTTTAGAAGTTGTAAACATTTCTTTTAACGAGCCAGAGCTTAAGGCCATTGTATTTGGTGGGTATGAAAATGTTGAATGCTAATTGTTTTCCAATCGGTTCTACGCAAGGGATACAGTTCTAACTTTTGGGATATGATAGTAAGTTGTAAATTTTTGGAATATAGATCTAACTTTTGATGGTATATTCACAACTTTGAACAATATACTTGTAATATTTTGAGGGAAGCTTGTAACATTTTGGGATATAGTTTTAACTTGTGAATGTATGCTTGTAACTTTGGGCTTGTTTTGCAACGTAACTTGTACTTTTGTATACTCAAGATGAAAATAAATGAAATTTGATATTTGATATTATCTTCAAATCAAGTACATTTATTATTGATTACAGAAGTCAAGGTTACAAAACATACAACTTGATCTATTTTTCTCTATATTTCTCTTCTCTTACTTTTCTTCTTTATCATCATTGTCTTCAATTCTACAAAAGATCATTATGATCCCCCTCTATTAAATCACAAATGCAACATTCATTTTCCTTCCTTATTTATAATCTACACTTTACATAATAAAAAGTATGAGAATAAAAGGTATTTAATTCAGTATTGATCTAAAGTGAATTATTACTTTCAAATAAATAAATAAATATATGAAAATAATGTGTATAATGTGGCGGCTCATTTTGCTAAATGAGTTATCAAAAAATAATCATGTGATGAGGCCTACCTTAAAAGTCACATCAAAAAGTGTGGGACTCACCACTCTATCTCTTGATAGCTCATTTTGCTAAATGAGCCGCCGAC